GTAAATATATTTTTAGAATTTTGGATAAATGAAAAATGTCAATATGTGCAATCTATTTTTCGTGTATTTGAACCCATTCACCGAGAAAAACTTCCAAATCCCGTTTAAAACTTCTAATCGAATTTTACGTGTATACATCTCTGAAAACTGCCCCCCCCCCCCCCCCCGCCGCTCCCTACCTCTTTCTCCCTCTCGAAACTCGCCCAAAACTTGAAAAGAGAAGAGAAAAAAAAACGTGCATCCCGTAAATAGCAAGGCGTGTTTCTGACCACCTGGTGTACCCCTTCTCACTCTCGGTCTACTACGGTCACGAAAAAAGCAAGCAAGAGCGTTTACAGCTCTTGCAGAGTTATCGGGTGAGCGACATCGACTGCGCGCCGCTGATTATAGGGAGTTGCAAGACTTTTCCGCCGCACATCTCTCCGCCGGAGCTCAATTATTTCCTACTTGCGGCTTCGCGAATAAAACCCTCCTCTGTGTTGCTCGGAAGAAGAAGAAAAAAGAACAACGAGCATTCGGAGTTTCGTCTGCCGAGTAGAGACTTTCGTCCTTTTTCTACTTGTTCCTTGCGGGAGAGTTAATGGGGCGCTGCACACGGCCAATTGTCGCTGCAGGTCTAACTATACTCTCGGCGGCGATGGAACTTGGCGAAAATCGATTGCTCGGAAAGAAAAACAAAGAACGCGGATCTGCTGGTTTATAATCGTGTGCTGGTTGATAAATAGCTCAGCGCACAATCATATCTTGGAAATCAGGGGACGGGGCGAAGAAAAAAAAGAAACGAGAAGCCTGGCACTAACAACACCTCGGTCTCTCTATCGTGCGCTCGCAATATTCTCTCTCTCTCTCTCACTCTTTCCACGGTGGCAGATTATCGGAAGCGATATGTAAGGAAAGGGCATCTTTCTCTCTCTCTCTCTCTCTCTCTCTCGCGGGAGAGACATACCTGTTGAAAGAGCTCGCAAGCCGTGCCGAAAGACGGACACGAGAGAGCGAGAACGCTCGGGAAAAAGCGCCGACGAGGAACACGGATCGCCGCTGCGAGGAGTCCTCTTCTTCTGATTCGAGACCGAGATATCGCTCGTGTGCTGTTGCGCGGGTGCGACCAGCGCCAGATTTCAGGACATACAATTTTACGGGCGATCAGTCTTTTTCAAGCCTCTCTTTAGCTGGCAACTTGTCATTCAATTACGGTCTTCGCGGACTTTTGAGAAACCGAGCATTCTCATTTTTGCGAAATGTCCGTCTAAAAATAGCCAGCGTTCGAACGTACGGCGTGCTATCGCATAAAATGCTAAGTTTAAGGAGACAATTAACAGCAACTTTTGAGCGACAGTGGCAGTTACACACAGAAGATCATTATTCCCTCCCGACGAAGAACTTAACAAGCAGAATATAGTTGCATTCGTTAGCGTTGAGAAGATGTTGGATTTTTCCACGAAAAAGCTTTGTGGAAACGAAGTACATAATTTACGTAACATACGATTATCTGATTTTAATGGAAACAATTAAATCCACCTTTACGGGCCGTTATTTCGACAAAAAAAGCTCCGGGAAAGGGATAAAGTTACATCAAAAATACACAGGCCCGTCATTTGAATAAAAGAGACGTCTTTAATTCCCGATAAAATTAGCCAAGCTTATCGTCAATCGGCAATCTATTTGTTGTGCGACTGACGGCTTTTCCGCGACGGCGTAGATCAGAATGCATTTTGCGCGGAAAAAAAAATGTCGTAAAAAGCCGAGCGTGCAAAAACTCCCGACAGCGACTGCGTAGTCCTCATAAAAGCGCCGATAACGCATCTCTTCTGTTTTTATGCGCGATGACCACCTTATACAGAAGACGCGTCTGTATGAGAAATCTGCAGACACGGAGGAGTGGATTAGGATCGCCTTGGATAAAAAAAAGCAAATTTAGGGAAGGCAATGGCGCGACGGAGAGATTGACAAAGAAGTCAGAATCTTCTGCATTTAAATTATTTGAATAAAGTCTGGTGCTACGCGTCGTTTGCTGAATAAAATAAAAATACGTTGCGTGTGTACAACGCAGGAATATAAAGTCGTGCGTCTGTCATATAACAAGAATTTTATTAGGCCGTTTCTTTTTTGCATCCGAATTTATTTTCTTTGTTTTTTTTACTGAAATTGAAAATATTTGGTATATTAACGTTTTAAAAATAATTCCCAAATATCGATATCTTTGAAGAAGAAATTGGATCGTAGTGATGCGAACGGAAAGAAATAGAACAATTTGAAGTAAATGACCCAATCAATTACAGGAAATATGAAGTGAAAAAAGTGATATCTAGAATTTTATTAAATAATATTAAATGGTAATAAAAAGTAATAAAAATCAGCTATTTTTCAACAAAGTCATTGAACTTAAAATTAGCATTGTAGCTGAAATTTAAATCAAGTCAACATCCTGTTCCATAAGAGGCATCCCTGCAATAAGCCACTGACCCAACGCAAAAGAAGAAAAAGCAGAAGATAATAAGAAAAGGAAAAAAGTCACGACACATAGTTATCCGCAACAATAGCAAGCGCCGATCACGTATGCTCTTTCATCCCTCATGCGCACGTTTGTATGTCGGGCGACAATCCAAAGAAGAAGAGCAAATTACGCAGGCCGCTCACCTCCTTTGTTCGGCGAGCAGCACGCTGCTGCTGCTGCTGCAACGGTGGCGTTGTCTTAGATTCTTATCTATCTCCGCGAGGCACACACAAGGCCAGTTCTCTCTTTCCACTTGCATGCAAGAAGGGAATCGAGCGCTGCTGCTGCTGCTGCCCACTGCTACACATATACATACTATCCCTTACCACTACTGCGTACGCAGGGAAAAATAATTTGTTTTACATCCGATCGTTTCAACTGATCGCTCTCGGCCTGAGAGACTGCGAGCACCCTGCGCCGCACACGCTTTAATTGGGGATTTTTCGAGTTGGACGCTGCAATGCGGTTGTTGGTACTGCGGAGATAATTTCGCGTGTGGGTGGAGATTTTTGCTCGGGGAGCGATCGAAAGATGCTTCGGTGGAGCTTTCAGAAAGGGGAAAAGTTGCGCGATGTGGAATGGTATATCGAGCTTTATTCAAAATTCTCTTCAAATTTATTACTATTATTACTATTATTATTTGCATAAAATTGCGGCGATTTTCCTCTTCCGAGTATTTGGAAATCTTTTGAAAATAACGATTTTTTTGTTTTGGTAGAATATCGAAAAGTTCCAATTTTCGATTGGCTCGGGCCTTTTTAAAAGCAATTGTTACCATTTTAGTATTTCCTTATTTTGAAAGATAAACAAAGGAAAAGAGATGGTTAAGATTAATATGATCTACTTTTCATATAAACGAAACAGATCATCATAATAAGCTCCATAGAAAATGTTTGGAACTTGAATGTAATTTTATTTGAGATAGTTACAATACCATCTGTGGAATTACAGTTTTGAAAAAATTCTATATCACTGCGTAGATTTGATTTTTACGTAATCTTATGTTTCAATCTTGATTCTCTTATGGAATTCCATTTTGAATATACTTTCCAAAATGCTAGTCTTTTGAAAATTAAAGTTGAATTAAATGTAAGAATTTTTTCCCCGATGCTGAAGTAACCATCGGCTCAATGGAACTTATACGATAATTAAGAAAGACTAATGGCACTATGACAATCTTCAACGCTGCTTCAATGTCCATTAACGCGTTAATGAAAATATTAACCATTGTCTTGGATTTAAACGGCATAAAATCCTATGGGAAGGATAAAATTATTTTAAAGTATTTAAGATATATTGTTGCTAATCGCGCGAAAAATTCAAGCTGATTGTTTAAACAACAGCATTTTTGAAAAATTCTATAAAAAAATTAATAATCAGAACACGACACTTAGGAACTGATGTCGTAGCGATATGCCTATGAGTCATAATCCCAGTAGAACAAGTCATAAACAACCTCTCAAATATATCGAATTTCGAAACGTGCATTGGCCTCCGCGCTATCAATCCTCGGCTCTATCTCGTTAAACAATCTCGCTCGCTCGCAGCTTATACATCAACGAAAACTTGCCGCGTTAAAGTCTTTTAATTAATGGGCCTGCGGAGCTTGTGTGCTTCAAGCCGATTCATTAGAAATGAAAAACTGAATTAAATGCCTAATCGCAGAAACTGCCACGACGGAGTTCAGCATTTCAAGCAGTAAATCTCTCTACGGCGGTGGGACTATTAATCACACGTACCGTTGCTCCTTATCGTGGGCGCGAGTTTATGATTTCATTGATTCGGCCGAGTCATCGTACATGTCAACTTGTTGCTTACTCGCGAGAGATTTCTTTCTCGCCTCTTTTCTTTCCGAAAGCGGCATATCCACAAGGTAACCCCCCTCGACTCTACGGCTGATTAAATTTACGAGCGCCTGTAATCAAGTGGCTTTTCACAGCGCGATTCCTTTCCCAAATGGCTGTTATCAATTTTCCTCGGCGCGAGTTTTCGCTGCAGCGCGTTAATTTTCGAAACCGCTGATTCCTTGATGGTCCTCTTACTTTCCGCACGCGGATGATCGATGCGACGCGTTCCTTTTTCTGCTACGTCCTTTCGATACACAAGCTCGTTACCTGTTCTACTTTTTTTTCGTTAATGAGCGCCAATCATTTGTGCGTCTAATGTGGAAGTTAATCTTTGTCAAAGACACGCTAAGATTAATTCGAAGGATCATTAAGGGGGCTTGAGAGAAATATTCACGTGCTATGGAATTCGCCTAACATCAGTTAGGCAGACCTTGCATAATATAGTTTTCAATCATGCGCGTGCACTCACTCGCGCTGATTAATCAAAATAATTGAACTCAGGTAAGACCTTGAATTCTGAATAATCCGAGACAGTCCGCGCGAAAACACCACATTCGACGAGCCAACTGAACAAGAAGTAACCTTGTCTGCTCTCTCGCACATCACATCAAAAAAACAGTGATGACGAATATCATCGGAAGATAAATTGCAACACTTACCTGGATGGTTTTCAAGATGGTCACCGTGTGTGCCGAGGAATAACGTCAACAATCAACCCGCGTTTCTCTCTCGCAATGAAATTTGACAAAAAGACACAGGATGGGAAAGGTAATCTTTCGCTCAGACACACTAGTTTGTCATCGCACAACACTCATGAACACACAAAACGACGTCGTAGCCATCAGCGATGGGCAAATTGACGTGCACTTTCCCTATATTATAAACACGGCAGCGGCGATCCAGTTTGTAACACAACGAAAAATAAAACGATGACCGCTTAGAGAGCCGACTCTCTGTGTACTGGCGGCGAGGCAGAACGCCGCACCGCACTACAGCCACCGTCGCGCCGTGCTGCTGCCGCCGGCGGATGTGTCACGGAGAGGGGGTTCGCTGAACTCGCGCGACGCAGCACCAGAGCGCATGGATGGCAAGGAGAAATGAGGGGAACACGCACGGAGGGGTAGGATACACTCAAGCGTCATAGGGTCTGTCAGAACTACCGGCGTCTTGTGACCATGGGGTTTCTCTATAAATGACAGTGTCTGCATTTTTTCGCAAAATATATATTAGGTTTATTGAACTTTTGCTGCAACAGGGTGGACAATTCTCAAGTTCAGACTGAGCAATATAGGTGGGATATATGTTTACTTATAAAATTCAATTTAGTCGTTGATTTTCGATTGAAAAAATAGAAATTGAAAACTTAAAGTAATGTGTTTTCGATGAATCTACGTCAATAAAGTGCAAGTAGTTTTATGCAACGTTCATCTATTTAAATAGATGGTCAACTAACATAGTTGAGTAATATAACAAGAAAGAAATAACTTCTTAAAAACAATTAAAAATTTAATGTCAAATTTTAATATCTTGTCTCCAGGCTTGTCTTGTATATCTTCTTGAGTCTATATGTAGAAATGGTTTTGGCCTGAGTTAAAATAATTTACATAGGCAGATAACACTCTAAATATATAAGTAATTTAAAAGAAGTAATCGTGGAAGTAATCGAAATGAAATAATTTTCTTAAAATAATTATGAATGATGCTCAAAAATATTTCCGTATTTATTACTGATATTCATTACCAGGAAATAATTCTGTATCTGACAAATGTTACTTTATCTTCGATTCTCATATCTGTAAAAATCGCGTCTCGTCGTGAAGTTGATATTTCGTTAAAAAATAATCAACATTGATATTTTTTAAATAAATACTCCCATCACTCATGGTAACTCAAGTATTTATTAAAAGTTAATCGACGCAATTAATCCAACAATCTTAAAGAAAAACGATCACATTCATATCTAAAGTATGATTGACGTTCGCCGTATACCTGCACATAATTAATAACGCGGTAACTGAAAAAAATATTTACCAGCAGTACGCTTTTCAGATTGACGCAACGATTTTTAAAAATGATTCGTAGATGAAAAACGAGATCTTGACGATCCTCATAATTAGCTGAACCAACGACAAGCGAAATCAAATTAACGAAGGAGGGGAAAATGACGGTCACGAGAAGTGCGTCAGTTCAAACGCGAAGAGGAGAGAGAGAGAGGACTATATATACGCATACACCATACACACAGGTGAAGTGAGGGGGGGGGAGGGGGTCAAAAACAAAGAGAGGGAGCGAGAGAGGCGAAAGAAAAGCACGTCGCTCGATCGCAGCCGCACGAGTGCCTCGGGCAACTCCGGAAGCGTTCGGGCTTAAACCGGCCGGCTATATCTGCGCGCTTTTGTCTCCTCGCCATCAGCGCGAGTGCGCGCAAGTGCGTTTTAAGTGCGTTTCAGGGGTGTTCTCGAATATTAATGAGCTCGAAGAAAAAAAATATATACGATATGAGATTTTTAAAGGGGGCTGCGCTCTTATTAAATAGTCATCAAGGCGAGCGCTGTACACATGCTTTCCAAATTACACATTCCGGTCTCTGAAGTGGGGATACTTTTTGAGAAGCCTTTCTCGGCTTGCATATAAATGAGCTGCCATTTTAATTAGACTTTAATTGTAAAATTACATTTTTGCTACGACGTTCGCATAAAATGTGTCGATCGTGTTTGTCGACGCTAATCTTGTAATTTTCAGAAATCCGCAAATGCCAATGACGAATTGTTCGTTACACGTCCTGTACATTAGATGTTTGGCTTTCTTGTTTCTTGCGCTCTCATCCTCCGCGGCATGCTGTGCACAAATGCACGACCGCGCAGCAACAGGACAAATCGAGCCTTTAACGTTTGCTTTATTTACGCGATGTACATGCAGCATACGCGTTCGCTGCAAACTTTCGCTTTGCAGATGAATTATTTTTCGACAGTGCAGCAATTTTTTTTCTTTTCGCGAGAGCTGTTTCTCTCATGTTTGCTTTTTGTTTGTTGGCAACTCGTGCACGAGCGTGAAAAATTCAAATGCCTCAGGCTGTTTTAGACAGGCTCGCTTCTATCCTTAGTGATTTTTGAGCGAGTTTTCAGAGGGAATTTTGAATTGTATTTTTCCTCGTGGATGAAATTAATTTAGTGTCAATTAGTCTTTTTGAAAGAAGTCTAAAAGCTTACTGCAATATTAATTAGGTCGGCGTGCATTTAAAAATTTTACGCATTTATTATGAAATCCGTTCAAAAATTTAATGCTGCTAAAATATTAATTTGATCAGACTGCAATCAATATTTCAATCACGTTGCATACATCGAAAGCTCTAGTGCAGTGTGACGGCTAGCCATAACTTAGTTTTTTTTATATTTAATTATTAAATATGACGAACGGAGTGGGAACCTTCCTGATTTCCCACGATGAAAACGCATTCGAAATATAAACTTTGATAGTGGCCCGAGCCTGCGTACTCAAGCTTACAATCAACGCTCTATCCTGCTTTGTCCCACACGTATGTGTTGACAGGGGCCTACGATCATCGCGTATACATCGTGAAGTGTTATCACGCCGATAATGGAAGGGGACCATAAAAATGCAATCTATCTTTTTTTTTCCCACCGATTTTTAAGAAAATATCCGTAATATTAAATAGATTTTCATCAATTTTGTAAGCCATTATAATGCGCACCTTTTTGTCACCGAATAACCAATAAATAGAACAATAATGTATTTTATAATAAATCGTAAAAGGTTTGAATTTTTCTGAATGTTCATAATAGTCACTATGTATCGTCATAATTAATTAAGTTTAGTACAATTATGTATAAGTAATTATAAGCTATAGCGTTACTCTTGCTCTTAAAAGTGGCACTCCGAGAGCCATCTCTGGAGAAAAGGGCCCAAGTTAAAAAGGGACCGCCCTTTCTCTCTCTGAAAATTCACGCCCACAGACCAATAAAGAAATTCTGGATATGATTAGAAAATTTCCGACCAATACAAAATTTAGCCGTTATCGCTTCATGGGCCTGAGGAAAGGGATTTCCACCCAACCACCCACGGCTTATAAAAAGCTCTGTACAAGGCTGGAGAGGAAGTTAAGTGAAGTTAAGCTCAGTTCAGTCAGTTAAGTTAGAGGAAGTCAAGTTCAGATAGAGTAAGTGCGGAGTGAGCACCAGGAAGTCCGTAATAAGAAGTTTTTACTAGTGAGCGAGTCCCGGAGCAAGCATCAAATCACCCAACTATATTCAGAACATATAGAGAGAGAAAGAGGCCAAAGAGCAGAGAGAGAACGCAACATTAATAATAACTAAATTGATAAAATAAAAGTAAGTAAAATCTTAAACCTGGCTATCCTTTTCTTTCTTTAAGTAATCCGCCTTTCTTTTGGAAATTCATTAAGCGTGAGTCTGGTGAATTTCCATTAAAGTCCCTTAAGAACACATTAAGCGTGAGTCTGGTGTGTTCGTAATAACATTTGGTTATTACATTCCCCGTTAGCATACAGTTTTCTCAACGCAACAATATTGCTCGTCCCGGCTTGTGTGTTACACGATAGCCAAATCAGAGCAACCCTGAGTTTACGCTTGCTCCAAGCGTACCTGAGAGTGACCCCGACGTCACATAAAAATTTTGGAGGCCCCGGAGGGATTAAATTGTTGCAAAGAAAACTGTTAGGGTTTTCCTTTCTTAAATTATATCAGTGATCAGTTAGAGTAAAAGAAAAATTAAGAATAGATACTACTTAAAGTATTTTATTGAATTTGAAATCTGTGAAGAATAAAATAAAGTAATAAAATTTTTTTTTTTGAATAAGAATACAAATTTATTAGTCAGAAAATCACTGATTTAATTGAGAAAATAGAAAATAAGTTTTGTGTTAAACAAGGAGATAGGTTAAATTGAAAGTGAAAATTAATTGGAGTTTATTTGGATTGAACTTAGGAAAATTTTGGGAAAATTAATGGGAATTTATTTTGTAATAAAGAATAGTGAAATAATTTAGAAAATATTGAAATTTGAATGAGTAAATTAATAGAAGAGTTAGAGAAAAATAAAGAAAATTAAGTTGTTTAAGAAAAGAGTTTGAAAAATATTTGAAATTTGAAAAAATTTTCAGAGAAGAATCATTTTTTATGAAAGTAAAATTATAAATCAGAATAGAAAATTCGTCCAAAGAAAAGTCTTCTTTTGTGCCTTGAAGAGAGAAATAAGAATAAATGCTTATTATAGAAAAAAGAGGGTTTTGAATTTATGTTTTGTTCTAAAAATTGTATTTAAAAATAAAAAGGTTAATTTAGAAAGATTGAAAATAACATACAGGAAAATTTTTTGAGATAATATTACGAATCTTGTCTGAGTCGGAAAGAAATACATTAGCAATAAAAATTAATTAGAGAAATTAGAAATCTTGCGGAAGAAAACTTAAAAATAAATAAATAAATAAAACTCGGAGTAAAAATAAAAGAGTATTGTGTTTAAAAGAAATTTAGGAAATCTTGCTGAGAAAAATAATATAAAAGTAGAAATTTTGAAATAAATAATTTTGCAAACTAGAAAAATTTAAATAAGAAAATTGCCTGTTATAAGTAAAATAAATAATTTTAAAAACAAATAGTATCAAAGAATGAAAGGTTTAATTAAGAAAGTTTAAGTAAAAATAAAGATAAATATCTTTCTGTAGGAATCAAAATTTATATCTAAGAAATGAATTGCCGCAATATATCTGTAAAAATAAAATTTTAATAAAACGTTCACATACAGTTTTCATAATTCTACAAACGAATAAGTTTTAATAAAATTTCGTTGTTTAGATAAATAAGATTTTTGGTCTTTCTTTTAGTTGTAATGCCACCGTTCGTAAGTTTTAATACTTTTTCTAACGAAGTAGTCGACACGGTAGATGAATTAATCGAAGATAT